TATTTTCATCAACAGCCCTTTCCACTGACAGGTCCCTCCGACTTAACTCGGGAAATGCATTCGGCAAGAAGTACCCGCTAATTCGAGCTAGCTACGAATCCAAAGGAAGCCGGGGTCTGTTTATCCTGGGTACCGCCAGCCACTCGGTGGACTACCGGAAATCTGCTGGGGGCTTCATCCACGGATTCCGATATACAGGTGAGCTCAGCTGAGAAGGCAGAACTGTCCCCAGACAGAGCCACTCTCAGCATCCCAGGGCTTATAAATCTGCTTCTATGTCCAGAAGCATTAGGGGATTGCTTGTCAGTAGCTCATTGTCATAAATCGTCTTGGGGAAGTGACAGCAGGTTTTTGTGGTCTGAAGACACATCTAGGGAAGTATCAGATAAAGTGTAAAAGTCCACGGCTGTAATCCTAGCTACTTGGGAGGCTGAGGCAGGAGGATCCCTTGAGTCCAGGAAGTCGAGGTTGCAGTGAGCCGTGATGATGCCACTGCACTCCAGCCTGGGCGACAGAGCAAGACCCGGTCTCAAAAAGTAAAATAAAACCAAGCGTAAGCCGGGTGTGGTGGCTCATGCCTATAATCTTAGCACTTTGGGAGGCCGAGGCAGGTGGATTGTTTCAGGCCAGGAGTTCAAGACCAGCCTGGGCAACATGGCGAAACCCTGTCTCTACTAAAAATACAAAAATTAGCCAGGTGTGGTGATGTATGCCTGTAGTCCCAGCTACTCAGGAGGCTGGGGCATGAGAATTACTTGAACCCGGGAGGTCGAGGTTGCAGTGAGCCAAGATCACAGCACTGCACACCAGCCTGGGCAACAGAGTCAGACCCTGTCTCAAAAAATATTAAAATCAAGCATAAAAGTAGATACATCTGGAAGTGCTATGTTATGTGCATAATCCCCAGACAGGTTAAGTATCCTGTGTTGGCAGGAACGCTGAGCTTGAAGAATGTGAACCTGGTTCCTCCCCAGCTGGGTGGTCCTAGAGGTGAAGCTTCCAAGCCCCTGATGGACATCCTAACATCACAGATGGAAATGAGGTGAACTCTCCACCATCGTGGGTCCATCGTGAGGGCTAAATAAGGCAATACCTGGCCACCAAGCAGCTATGAAGCTCCATGCCCATATAGACAATTTGGGTACTGACACATTTCAATAAAAATTGCAATCGGGGCCAGACGCAGTGGCTAACACCTGTAATCCCAGCACTTTGGGAAGCCGAGGCAGACAGATCACCTGAGGTTGGGCGTTCGAGACCAACCTGACCAACATGGAGAAACTCTGTCTGTACTAAAAATACAAAATTAGTCGAGTGTGGTGGCGCATGCCTGTAATACCAGCTACTTGGGAGGCTGAGGCAGGAGAATCGCTTGAACCTGGGAGGCGGAGGTTGCGGTGAGCTGAGATCACACCATTGCACTTCAGCCTGGGCAACAAGAGCAAAACTCTATCTCAAAAAAAAAAAAAAATTGCAATTGGATTATATCAGTTCTTTTTCAAAACTCTCAGTACCAAGGGTATAAATTTTCTGCTAACTTGAGAATGTTTACAAAGAAAATACTCAAATATATTTTAAAAACATAATTCTATTTATTGCACTAAAATAATCCCCAACCAAAAATTGATATTTGCGATTTTAAGAATAAATGGGAAATAAAAAGGAAGTGAGAGAAATGAAGTCACGCATGTTGGGTGACTTCAGTGGGCTGAGCACTGAAAACACAACCCTGGCAGGGCCGCCAACACCCCGAAAGGTGGGTGTGAAATCTCCATTTTCCTCAGAGTGTGAAACTCAGGCTCA